TTGGTGAGTTTTCTGTTCCTGAACCTGTTCTAAAGAGTGGCTAAAGGAAAATTTTGGGGGAAATTTATAGAAGAGGTACAGAGATGAGAGAAGGTTAACCCCAAAATGCTATGACATTTTAATGAGAGACAGATTCACATTCCTTTAAGAACTTTAGCCTGAAGTACCTCCGTCTCACACTAGTGGAGCTATTCATAGGGATTGATTAGGAAATCACCTAGCAGTTTGGTTTCTAGATACAGGCTGAGGAAGTTAAGAGCCAAAAATGATTCTATGTATAGTATTTAGTAAAGCAAAATGATTTGGTAAGTAATGTTTCAGAAATGCTATTTGCTAAGATTTTGGAGTTTTATTTTTTTTAATGAGTTCCATATGTTTCTATGAGACATCTTGTGACATTTCTAAACCCAACAGAACAGTGTATCAGCACTTACCACAGCTGGTTCTCCACTGCAGTGTGTCCTAGGAAACACTCTCAGATCCACCGTTAAACCTTGTAAGAGCTTAAGATTTTATATCGCTCCCTATTTTACCAGGCAGGAGTAGGATGTTTTATGAAGGAAAATAAAAGAATACCAGTTACATAGACTTGAAGCAGTAATACTTGCATTTGTAAGTGTGAGTATAGTTTTAAAAATCTGTAGATTTTATGCAATTGTAAATATATGAATTCCTTGCTATTATTTGTTTCACAATTTTTTAAAAAATTGTTGAGTTATTTTTTCTCTTGTTCATTTCACCATTAATTAGACCCATAATGATCTAGACATTATTTGGATTATATTGACTTTTTATCAGATTGAACATATCTGTATTACTTAGTAAGGTAAAAAACAAAAACAAAAAAAAAAACCCCTTTTCCAGAAAGAAAAAAACTGTGAATCAAAACTACAATAATATATTGAACATTTCATAGATGATGGGTTCATAGATAAGTATAAAAACATTCATTAAAAAAATCTTTATCACTCTTTAAAAAAGGATATATTATCACCCAGTGGTTCTTTTCTAGACAGAATCATTCTGTTTGGAGTCCATGCAAGGAGTTTACTTATTTTAAAAACAAGATTTGTCACATGTAAAAACAAGATTTGTCACGTGCAAAGAATGAGTTACTCGAAGGTTTAGGTTTTAGAGTGGCACAAGTGTGATTAACTCACATAAATGATTGAATATTTTGCTTTTTGCCTTTCTTGTAGTATTTAGACTCTTGTGGTATTTTTGTAAGAAGCTGTTGATGAAAAAAGCCAAACTGTAAAGTATTTAAAGAGGTTTATTTTGAGTCGAATATGAGTGACCACGGCCTATGACAGCCCCAGGGGGTCCTGAGAACATGTGCCCACAGTAGTTGGGTTACAACTTGGTTTTATACATTTTAGGGATACAGAAGTTATAGCCAAAGACATAAATCAATAAATGTAGGGTGGTATACATTGATTTGGCCCAGAGAGGTGGACATCATGGAGCTGATGGTGAAGGGCAGCTCACAGGTGAATTCAATGATTTTCTGATTGTCAGTTGGTTGATAAGCTTTGCTGAAAGATTAGAAGTCATCAGAAAGAAATTCTTGAGTTAAGATAAACAGGGTGGTGTAGGCTGGGCGCAATGGCTCACACCTGTAATCCTAGCGCTTTAGGAGGCTGAAGAGGGGCGATCACCTGAGGTCAGGAGTTTGAGATCAGTCTGGCCAACATGGCAAAACCCTGTTTCTACTAAAAATACGAAAATTAGCCGGGTGTGATGGCATGTGCCTGTAGTCTCAGCTACTCAGGAGGCTAAAGCAGGAGGATCACTTGAACCCAGGAGGCAGAGGTAGCAGTGAGCTGAGATTACACCATTGTTCTCCATCCTGGGCAACAGAGTGAGACTCCATGTCAAAATAAATAAATAAAATAAGAAATTATAAAAATAAAGATAAACGGAATTGTGGAATCACAGGTTCTTATTATATAGATGAAGCCTCCATATATCAGGCTTCAGAGATAATAGATGGTCAGTATCTCTTATCAGACCTTAAAGGGTATCAAACTCTTAGTTAAATCTCTCATGGATCAGGAAAAGACCTGGAAAGGGAAGGAGATTCTCTATAGAATGCAAATTTCTCCTGCAAATTATGGCTTTGCAGGGCCATTTCAAAATATATCAACAAAATATATTTTGCAGTAAAATGCTTTGATTTCCTCTAGGGCCTGCTATTTGTTATTTAATGCTATACCAGAGTCAGGTTGGAGTTGGGGATCTTATTGCTACAAAGTCTGTTTTGTCAGTCTTACGATCTCCTTTTCTTTTTTTGAAATGAAGTCTCACCCTGTCACCCAGGCTGGAGTGCAGTGGTGCAATCTCGGCTCAGTGCGACCTCTGTCTCCCAGGTTCAAGTGATTCTCCTGCCCTAGTCTCCTGAGTAGCTGGGATTACAAGCATGCACCACCATGCTCAGCCAATTTTTTCTATCTTTAGTAGAGACGGGGTTTCACCGTGTTGGCCAGGATGATCTTGAACTCTGACCTGGTGGTCTGCCCTCCTCGGCCTCCCAAAGTGCTGGGCTTACATGCGTGAGCCATCACGTCTGGCCTATGATCTACATCTTAATGTCAGTGCTGGTCAGTTGCACCTAAACTCCAAAAGACAAGAGGGTATAAGGAGGCATATCTAACCTCCCTTCCTATTATGACCTGAACTAGTTTTTCAGATTTTCTTTGGGATCTTTGTGGCCAAGAAGGGAGGGTCCATTCAGTTAGTTAGAGGGCTTAGAATTTTATTTTTGTTTTACAAAACTTATTTCCTAGGTTGAGTCACTGTACGTGAACATGATCTTAATGACTGAATAGTTGTTAACATAAATAAATATATTTTTTTCTAACTCACTTAATTTCACATTGGTTCTACTGGTAAACTGTTTTTCAAAATAACAAAATTCTCATAAGGCTATTTTTATTAGGTTTCATATATACAAAAGGTATCTAATATATTGAATAATATTTCAGTTTCTAAGGCCAAATTGTCTTATTTCAAATCCCTGTTCTCTTACTTACTAGTGGTACAATCTTGAAAAAGTTTACTTAATCTTTCCATGTCTTAGTTTCCTAATCTGTAAATTGAGGGCAATAGTACCTATTGCTTAGTTATTTTTCCACTTAAATGAATTAATACATGGAGAATGCTAAGGAAAATGTCTGATATATATATTATAGTAATTATTCACTAAATATTTCTTTATTGTTATAATTGTCATTTGTATTAGTTTCAAAAGATTTAACATAGAATGTATTAGGGCAAAATTTCAGATGTTTCAGAACATGCTCATAGGGAGGCCACCTCTAATAACTCTAGTAATATGTTAACATATGCTTGATGCTATAACTGTATGTAAGATTCTAGGAGTTAAGTGTTCACATCCTATGTATATAAGGATCGAGTTCTTTGGTGCTAAATTAGATTTTTTGGGGTATGACTTCACATAGTCTTTGTGGTCACACCCATATGTCAACATTTAGACAGCCAGGGATCAAGTGTTACATTTAAGTTCATAGATTAGAAATCTCATAGAGATTTTCAAAATCAGGTAAATTTCAAATAAAAGCTTAGTTTTTTCATTTATAAAGATGAGGCTGTTGCCTATTTTGCAGACTTCTGAGGATATAATAGAAATTAGTAAACATATTACCTGATATATAGTTTGTCCTTAGTAAATATCCTTTTTCTCTGACTAGGTGGTCGCATTGCAAACCTCTGGAATCAGTTTAGACATAAGAAGAAAACAGACCTAATCAAAAATGACCTGGATCATATCTTGAGTCTTCTAACCAGAGTGGACTTGGATTACCCAGGCTATGTGGAGCTAGTGGGATGCGGAAGATGGAGACTAGAGGGAATAGATGGCTGAGAGGAAGATGGTGGGAACGGACTGAAAAGACACTTTCAGCCTCCGGTTGCCACCCTCCAGAGCTTCCTAAACTTAGAGAACCAATAACTACTGCTGACTGTGGCCCATAGGCAGTTTCATCTGAAATACAATGTTTTTAAATATATTGAATGCTAGGTGCTAGTATTTACAAATTAGGAGATGCAGCCTTAAATCAGAATCTCTGGCTTCTCTAGAAAAACCTGATCTGGTTCCATTAGGCCTCCTGCATGATGTGAGTGGGCCACAGTGAAGAAGAGGCTGCACCTTTGGATTGAGCCTACTCTTCCATTCCTGCTGGGCCCTTGTAGTGCTTGAGTTGTGACATGTGCTTTCACTGAGGCAAAAATCCACTTTCCATTGTGTAAATTGGCGACATTTTGATACATAAAAGTATTTTGCATCCTTTGAACACAAATGATTGTGAAATGAATTTCTAGTATCTTATGTGTTACTTTCATGGATTCCACTCCCATAGTCTACTTAACATAAAGTTTTAAAAACTATACTAGTAGTACTATCTAGGATCAAAGACTAATAATATTAAATCTAGAAGTACCATATAGCACTAATATCAAGGAGATGAAATTCAGGTCAGGCTTGTAATTACTACATCCATATACTAATGATAATTAGCAGTTTCTTAAAGCTTCATATTCTACATGATTTTTATTGCTATCTGTCTTTTCAGAGCTTTATTGAGAATTAGCAGGATTTTATGACTTTAGCTGGTGTTAGTTAAATGAATTGCAGATGACAGTATTATTAACAAAAAATGAGAATGATATGCTTTTGGATGTTAACAGAGCAAAATGCTGGTCAGATGTGAGTTAACATGTTCAAATGTTTTCATACTTCTTAACACACTTAAAGCTATTTTGTCTATGGGGAATTATCCAGCTATTATATTTGTGAAGTAAACATAACTGTGTAGCATTTGTGTCTTACCCATTGACACATATTAACATGTTTGAAGGTACATGTGAGCAGTCATGCACATAGACTACAAATTAGTAAACTATTTTGAAGTCTAGATTTCATGAATTATTACCAATCATATTGAAGTTTTGCCTTCTTTGCTTAATTTATATTTTTCTAGTGTTGTCTGTGTTGGTGGAGATGGATCTGCTAGCGAAGTAGCCCATGCTTTGCTTCTGAGAGCCCAGAAGAATGCTGGGATGGAAACAGACCGAATCCTGATTCCTGTCAGAGCACAGCTTCCACTTGGCTTAATACCAGCAGGCAAGGGAGTGGCTACAGATTCATTAAACTGACCCTTCTCCCTCTTTTCCTTTCTTATTTGCTAACCTAGACAGCACAACACAGAATTAATGAACGGACTTTGAAAGATCCAGACTTCTGGCGTCCCCACTAGCAAATGTGAGACTTTTTACAAGTCATTTAATCTCTTTGAGCCTTATTTTTCTACTCTATAGAATAGGGATCACAGATATATTACTCACTTTATTACAAGGTTATTGCAGTACTAACCTTTGGATTAAAAAAGGGTTTAATATAGATAAACCATCAGTATATGGAATGGTTATTATTCTCCCTTCCCATAAAAAGATCTAATGATTACACAGTACGAAGCAGGAAGTTTCAAAACAGGGCCCCTCCAGTCTAGCTTCTTATAATTCCATATGAGGTGAATATGGTAACTTGCATAACTGAAGTATAACCAGATAACCTTGAGAATGCCAAAATTACTTGTGACTGGAAGGAGGATAAGGTTTGGAAGGGTGAGATTCTTAATGGCAAGGCTTTTTAATCTTTCTACTCACTGCCATTTTCAGCATCTAGAATAGACTATGCCACAGTGATGCTCAGTGAAGCCTATTAAGTGAATGCATGTAAAGAAGACTTTATATAGTAAATGATACTTGGATTAGGCCTTAAAATGGGTTGGAGCTGGCCTGAAAAGGTAAGAATGAGTTATTTTCTTGGCTGCAGAAGTAATAAAGCAAAGGCAAAACCCAGGAGTGTTTGAGGAATAGTGAAAAGGCCATTCAATGGAAGATAATGGTATCAAAATAGGCCCAACCATGGAGGCTCCTGCATGCCACAGTAAGGGCTCTGAATTGTATTTCATCAGCAGTAGGGAATAATGGGATGTTTCAGAGCAAGGGGGCAACCTGATTGGAGCTTGTTCAAGGATTCATTTTGCCTCACTGTGTGGAATGATTAGAGGATGGGGGCAGGAGAAAGTAGAGGTCAGAGACAGGGAGAACTGTTAGAGCAACACTGTGATCCAGAAAAGACGAAAACATCATTCAAAAACTGATTGTATTACACAGTCACTCATTCCAAATAATTTAAATAAATGATAGTGAAGGAAATTATTCATTTTAAAAAGTCATACATTATCCCTAAAAAAAAGCAGAATATTTTCCACTCTGATTATAGAAAATAATGCACATGGTTGAAAAATTCGTATTTTGATAACTTTATTCATTTAGTGTGGATTTTAGTATACTTAGTATTGTTGATAAGTTGACAGAGCATAATATATTCAAATGCCCTTTTAGAGTGTAAAGTCTTTCAGAAAAGTCAGAAATTAAAAGAAGAGAGAGATTCAGAGATAATCTGATAATTCTAGAGTATATAGGAAAATCTAAAATGGTTTCTAAGTAGAAGACAACAAGAAAATTTTGACTCAGAGAGAAAAATGATGCATTTTGGGCCATCTTTTCATGACATTTTATTTCTTGACCTTTTTATTTTACTTTAGTAGTTCTGACTATAATGGTGGATTTCCCTCCATGCAAAGTGGATGTGCTTAGGACACTTCATTAGTACTTAAATTCCTGAGGTCATTCACTGACTGCCATACATCAGAAATAGAAAGATGGGTGTCCCTACAGGTATGCATTTGACATAAATTTGGTGGTTGGCTATAAAAACTGGTGGTTATTCTTATGTTTTTAGTATGTAATTCAGATTTTATAAAGGAATAGCATTGAGTTTTATCACTATTATAATTTTTAAGAGTATTTCTGATTTGGGGAGCATTTTATGTATTCTTTGGATATTTGTAGTAATGCCATTTTAACATGTCTTGTTTAGAAGACACAGTATGCTGCCAAAACTCTGGTCATTGTATAGGAGTTCTAGCATTCTAATTCTGTCTAATAGGAGGGGAAAGTCATGTATGGGATATGTTTAATATGAGGACTCTATGCCTAGTCAGGGCTTTTGATAGAGAATGGGAACAGGAACAAGGCAGGAAATTTTCAAGCTGAACATGAGGAGACAGTGTGCCTTTGAAGCCATTTGCCTCCTGGAGAGAGACACCCAGAGGGAGAGTGTTTAGTAAATTAATCCACTGAGCCAACAGACTAAGCCACTGAATTATGGTCAGACTCAAATGGATCAGATGTGGGGAAGCCTGTATTTGAACTGCTGGCCATTAGGAATGGTGTTTGTTGCTATGGGAACTGGTACTAAGGAACTATACTGAGAGAATCTGATTAAAGGGGGAGGGGGAATGGAGAAAAAAGCCTGAGAGGACATAAAAATAAAAAAGCAATCCAGTTGTTGTAAAACAAGGCTCAATCCACATACTGATGGCTGTGAACCATATATTCCTATAGAGTTTGCATAAATAAATTCATGCTTTCCAATTAATTTGAGGAGAATAAAATATTGCCGAGGGACTGTTAATTTCTATGATATTTCAGGCAAAGAACCAAAGTGTAGGTGCCGTTTTCATGAGAATTTTAGATATGCTTGACTAGGAAGTCATTACATCACATTTATCTGTTTGGATGTGGGAGACATTAACAGCCTTATGAATATTCATGGTGTCTGGTTAATTAAGTTAATTGTTCTGCAGAAGTGCTTGCACTTCCAAGGACAATTTTTTTTTTTTTTTCGCCTCCGTAGTTTCTCTCTGGTATTTCATCAGTAATTCTTTACATGAACTGCTACTTCTGTCCTTACTTTTTGTATTTGGAACATTTTAGCAGCTCTCGGGAGGGAGTGGTGGGCAAAGTTTCTGGTAGTGTTAAGAAAAATAACTTTCAGGCTAATTAAAATGTTTACCTTGAGGTAGAACATTTATAGCTTTTGTGAGAACATTAAACTTACACCATTGTTATTTATGTGAGCAGCATGTTCTTTTGGCATGTAGACATCTTTTCAAATAGAGTACAGTTTCCTGAAACAAAATGTAATCCATCTTTCAGATTATCCCAACAAAATATGTAACAAGCTATCATTTTGCAATCTTACATATACTTTCTCATAAACTTTCCTTTTTTCTTCAGAATGTCAAAAACCACATTTAAAGACTGAGGTTCAGATTAATGAGTAGTCAATGACTAAAATAATTTTCTGACTTCTAGTCATGTCCATTATCACTGCCAGCTTCTACAGAATTTAGAGGAAAGTTGCAAAACCTGAGAAGACATGAACAATTTTTAAAGCCATCTCTAGCATTCTAAAGAAAATTTGTACTTGGGCATACTCAGCATACTTCAAACTCACAGGGAATAAATGGTCTATATTTTCTTAAGGCATGATATGTGTCATTCTCTATTGCACATGACATTACATTATGTTTTTTAATAGCCTTTCTAGAGGAATGCTTTTATGGTCTACTCCTAATTAACCATGGTAATGGAGGAAATGTGTTTCATGGAGTACTATGATCCATCGATAATCCTAAATATCTCACTCTAATTACGTGGCCTCCTCCAAAACCTTTACCACAAATCTGATTGGATTGTGGTAACAATCCAATCAAGCACAATGGATTGACTTGTTTCCTCCTTTTCTCTCAATCCATTCCAGATTTATTAGCAATTAGATGGTCAAAGGGCAGGCTGTAGAGGGCCACAAGATCATTGGAAAGGCCTGGATAAAGATCCACTGAGTAACAGGTTTCTACACTACTTGTTTTCAAAACTTAGGGTCCATAGACTCACCTTGTGAACTTGCTAAAACAGATATCTAGGTCCTCCCTCCTCCAAACACATTCTGATTCCATGAGTTGCAGGTAGAACCCAGGAATGTACGTTTTTAACAAGCTCCCACGTAATGATGCTGCTTGGACCATGCATTCCAGAGAAGTTTCTCACCAAGTCATTGTGCATACAAACCACCTGGGGATCTAATAAATTGCAGACTCTGATTCAGTGTGTCTGGAATGGGGCCTGAGAGGCAACATTTTAAAAATATTTGTTTACTTTCATTCATACTTCTATTACTGTTTTAATACCCATTATCCTTATTTTTAAATGGACAAAAATTATATATATTTATTATGTACAATGTGATGTTTTGAAACATGTATACATTGTGAAATGGCTAAATAAAGATAAACATGCATAAAATTGATATAATGATCACATACTGATTTTACATTGAGAACACTTAAAATCTCTCTTAGAAATTTCCAAGTATATAATGCATTGTTACTTAACTATTGTTTTAGTCTGTTCTCACGCTGCTATAAGGAGATACCCAAGACTGGGTAATTTGTAAACGAAAGAGGTTTAATTGACTCACAGTTCAGCATGACTGGGGAGGCCGCAGGAAACTTACAACCATGGTGGAAGGCAAAGGAAGAAGCAAGGCACATTCTTCACAAGGTGGCAGAAAGGAGAAATGCTGAGTGAAGTGGGGAAGAGTCCCTTATAAAACCATCAGATCTCATGAAAACTCACTATTACAAGAACAGCATGGGGGAAACCGCCCCCATGATTCAGTTACTCCTACCTGGTCTCTCCCTTGACATGTGGGGATTATGGGGCTTAAAATTCAAGATGAGATTTGGGTAGGGACACAAAGCCTAATCTTATTAACTATAGTCACCAAGTTGTATAACAGATTTCTTGAATTTATTCCTTTTAACTGAAAGTTTATATCCTTGACCAGTATCTCCCCAATCCTTCCCACCCATTAGCCGCAGTAACCACCATTTCACTGTTTGCTTTTATGAGTTTAAGTTTTTCAGATTCTACATAAAAGTAAGATCATGTGGTATTTGTCTTTCTGTGTTTGTCTCATTTCATAATGCCCTCCAGGTTCATCCGTGTGTTGTAAATGACAGGACCTCTTTAATGCCAAATAGTATTCCATTGTGTATATAAACAAGCTGATTGTCCCTAATCTGAAGGCCTAAAATCCAAAATGCTACAACATTAGAAATTTTTGAGTGTCAGTATGATGCCACAACTGGAAAATTCCACACCTCATATGATGGGTAGCAGTCAAAGTACAGTCAAACCTTTGTTTCATATAGAAAAATATTTTAAATATTATGTAAAATTATCTTCAAGCTATGTGTATAAGATGTATAAAACTTTTATGTTTAGACTTGGGTTCCACCCCCCAGATATCTCATTACACCAACAGTGTAAAAGTCTTCCTATTTCTCCACAGCCTTGCCAGCATCTATTGTTTCCTGACTTTTTAATAATCGCCATTCTGACTGGTATGAGATGGTCATTGTGGTTTTGATTTGCATTTCTCTGATGATCAGTGATATTTAGCTTTTTTAAAAATACATATATATATGTTTATTGGCCATGTAAATGTCTTCTTTTGAAAAGTGTTCATATCCTTTGCCCACTTTTTGATGGAATTGTTTTTTTCTTGTAAATATGTTTAAGTTCCTTATAGATTCTGGATGTTAGACCTTTGTCAGATGGGTACATTGCACAATTTTTCTCCCATTCTGTAGGCTATTCACTCTGATGATAGTTTCTTTTGCTGTGCAGAGATAGTTTTCCTGATTTCTTTTTCAGATAGTTGTAAGTGTACAGAAATGCTACTGATTTTTGTATGTTGATTTTGTGTCCTGCAACTTAACTGAGTTTGTTTATTAGCTCTGACCATTCATGGAGCCTTTAGGGTTTCCTAAATAAATGAGATACTGCCTACAAACAAAGGCAATTTAGCTTCCGTCTTTATGATTTGGAAGCCTTTTATTTCTTTCTCTTGTCTAATTGCTCTGGCTAGAACTTCTAGTACTATTTTAATGAGAGTGGTGAGAATGGGCATTATTGTCTTCTTGAGGTACAAGACATTGTTTCTCAACTCCTGCAAGTCATTTTAATAAGCACTCAAGTATTGTCATTCCTGCTTGACAGTAGGCCATATTTTGAGTAACAAGGGTCACAGCATAACTTGCCTTTTGGTGAATCAGTTGGAACCAGTTTGCCAGTTCATTACAATACACTTTTCTTTGCATTGGTATTACTAAAAGTAATTGTGCTTATTTATTATTAATAATTAAATATGTTTATTCTTAGATAGTTACCTAAAAAATTTATGATTTTAATGACCTCTTGGTTGATAATGGCTAAGCTGCCTCAGCTTCTCCAATTTAGTAACCCAAGTACATATCAGTTCAAAGTAACACAAATGGAAGCAATTATGTATGATCACATAGAAATGCTTCGATTAGCAAAATCCAGAGAACTGGTCTTTGCCTTGATAACCGGAACACACCACATCCATGCTTTCACAGCTCTTGGCTATTACTGGACTTGTTATATCCTTTAATTCAAGAAAAATTGTAGCTTCATTTATTCTGTTCTTAATAATTTTAAATTCCCTTTAGCCTCCTGGGAATGGGAGGGGCTGGCTGGTATTGTCCCCTGTATCTCAGATTTCAGTCACACATAAACATTAAAGGGGCCTGACTTGGGGAGCTCTTTGCCTCTGTGGACTGGTGGGGAAAATCTAGGTGTGTCTTAAATTCTAATAATCACGAAAATCAGAAATCATAATGTTTCAAATACAAATCTTCATACATGGAAAATACAATGGAATTAAACATTTTCTTCAGTGTAGGAGACATTTGTGAGATAACAGGGGATTCTCATTTGGCTAAGAGCTTACCTCTAAGACTCATTAAATGTATTTAGACCATATTTTTTGTAGCTTGTAGTTATTTTATTTTTCTGAGTTATTATTTGGATTATTTTCTCTTTTATTTATGTATGCATTTGTCTCTGCTCCCCAGAGGCATCCTTTTGCTGTTGATCATTATTTTGGCATTGAAGCTAAAAACCCATTCATTAAGGTTGGATGGAGTGGGTTTTGATATAGCTAGCATTTGGGAGGTAGAAAATAGACATTCGTGATCAAAAAAGCTGTAAGTGCTTACTATAAACTATTTTTAAATTCCTAAGTAATTTAAATATTCAAATAATTGTGTAGACATTTGATGTGCATCTATAGTGTGAATAAGAACTTCTAATATTCACATTAACTTTTCTGATTTTATAAATTCTCATTTATTTTTCATCTGAACATTGCAGAATGACATCTGTATAAAGTAAGAGCAAATGTTAATTGAACACATTCTACCCTGATAGTGCATGTTTTAAAATTGCTTTGGCAGGATCTACCAATGTACTGGCACATTCTCTTCATGGAGTTCCTCATGTGATAACTGCAACGTTGCACATTATAATGGGTAAGAATTCTTCCAAAGCAGTTCACATTTTATAAGGAAATTTTGATTTATATAAGGAAGGCTATCTTATTTCCATCAGACTTTAAGGAAAGGCAGGTTCTTTGTCTCTCAAAGTAGAGAAATGTTTGACTAAAAGATAAAAAAGTAGTGCTTCACTATGTGGACTGCCTGTCTTTTCAAAATACTTGCTTTGTAAAGAGCAGTAAACTAAGTTTTACTGTAATCTCTATAGAAAAAGAATGTAGTGTGCTCAAAATAATTTTATAACCAGATGAAGAAAATTAATGCATACTCCTTAAGTATATCCAACACTGTTGTAGGACTCTACCAAGACTCTAGGACTAGGATTATGTTATTAATGAAAAACATACCAGAAAAAAAATTTCAGCCAGTGTATATAGATATTTTATTATCCCAATTAGTAGAAAGCATATAAGCTCAGGTGTATGTAATACCAAACTACTGCTAAATCTAAGTTTACCTTGCCCATCTACTTTTCTTTGACCATGTTTCATAGAAATAGCAATAAGCTGAAAAATTTAGTACTCTGTGTTTCTTCACTAGCACCTGAACAAGTTAAAAAGGGTAATTGTTGTAGTTATAGATAAAGGGAACTGAAGAGAAAGTAAGGATGTTCATGGTCTACTGTACCTTGAGATATTCTCCTATAAGCCAATAAATATGCTCTCTTATATTTGCTGTTTTGATACAAGTCCTATACTCACTGACTAATATTTAATATAATATTCAAGGGCATGTACAGCTGGTCGATGTCTGCACCTTCAGCACCGCTGGCAAGCTTCTTCGCTTTGGGTTCTCAGCCATGTTTGGCTTTGGTGGAAGAACTTTGGCTCTGGCAGAAAAATATCGATGGATGTCCCCTAACCAACGGAGAGATTTTGCTGTTGTTAAGGCACTGGCAAAACTTAAGTAAGTCTTTTTCTTAAACCAATAATTTTGTATCCCAGGTTCAATGACTGTTAATAACAAATTTCATTATATTTTAGGGCAGAAGACTGTGAAATATCATTTTTACCATTTAACAGCTCTGATGATGTGCAAGAAAGGTAGGTAAAACTCAATGTAATACAGATAACCTATATCTTTCTTTAAAGCATAAAACATTCTGACAAACAATTGATCAGACTTAGGATCTTTGGTTATTTTTCTAACACAGTAGTAAAGAATATAGAATCACAGACTCTTACAGGTCCTAGTAAGCAAACAACCACTTGCTCAGCCTTTTTCTCTTCTTCCTTCTTTCTTTTCTCCCTTCCTTCCCTCTCTGTCCCTCCCTCCCTCCCTCCCTTCCTCCCTTCCTCCCTTCTCTTTTTCCCTTCTCTTTTTCCCTTCCTTTCCCTTTTCTTTCCCTTTTCTTTCATTTTTTTTTCCTTTTTCATTTCCTTCTTTTCCTTTTTCCCTTTCTTTCCTTTTCCCTTTTCTTTTGCTATTTATTGAGTGCCTATTATATGCCAGGCACTTTGAATACAACAATGCATCAAAAAATGAACAAAACACATAGTTTTGTTCCTCATGATAATTTTGGTCTAGTGTGTAATATAAATATTAAAGCTATACTAAAGAAGGGTTATAGTCTTTAAAGAAATAGTAAATTATTGTTCCTTATAATACTATTTTATCTTTAAATGAATCAACATATTATGTTGGCAGCAACAAAATTGTACACGTTTTTACTTACTATCTAATCAAAGAAAGTAACATGTAATGATGAGTTCACTAATTTTCTCATATTTAATCGATTTGTGTGTGTGTGTGTGTGTGTGTGCGCGCGCGCACGCGCGCATTACCTGTTTTATATCTTTGTTTTTTCTTTCTTTTAGGAGGGCACAGGGATCTCCCAAATCTGGTGAGTACAAAAGTATCTCCTTGAGAACTGTGCCAGGTTCTGTTGACATTTTGCTCTGGTGAGGGAAAATAACCAATCACTCTCATTACCTTTAGACTGTAATGATCAATGGCAAATGATCCAGGGTCAGTTCTTGAATGTCAGCATTATGGCAATTCCTTGCCTGTGTTCAGTGGCACCTAGAGGCTTGGCACCTAATACCAGGTTAGTAAGCATTTTTATTGAATTGTTGATACATTTCTTATAGACCATTTTTTTTCCAGGATATCCAATTAACTGTTGGTTAGCTAGAAACTTAACTGGTAGTTTATCTTTGTATATTAGAGAGTCTAAGGGATTTGTCATTACAGTAGGTTGAGAACAATTGTTGAACTAGAATAATTATCAGATAATCATTGACTATGTAAGTCACTGAGGCTAAAATATTTCCTAAGTTTCATTGATATAATTTTATGCCTACTTTGCTTGATTTATTCATTTAGTTGTGGAGAACATTATATTAAATGCTGATATTTCTTGTGAATGTCTTTGCTTTCCAACTTTAATGCAAACATAAACATCCTTAGCATGAAAAATCACATATATGTATATTTGATACTGTATTAGTCTGTTTTCATGCTGCTGATAAAGACATACCCGAGGCTAGGTAATTTACAAAAGAAAGAGGTTTGATGGGCTTACAGTTCCACGTTGCTGGGGGGGCCCCACAATCATGGTGGAAGATGAAAGGCACATCTCACATGGCAGCAGACAAGAGAGCTTGTGCAGGGAAATTCCTATTTTTGAAACCATCAGATCTCATGAGACTTATTCATTACCATGAGAACAGCACAGGAAAGACCCACCCCTTGATTCAATTATCTCCCACCACGTCCCTCCTACAACACATGGGAATTATGGGAGCTACAAGATGAGATTTGGGTGGGAACACAGAGCCAAACCATATCAGATACCTTGAGTCAAAAGAAACATTTCAGTTCTATTTAATGTGAATAGTAGTGCATATCAATCTCCTGCCCACATTTGCAATGGAATGAAATGTGAGACGTCTTATATATACCTTTTTATCCATAGGATATAGACATTCCTTCTCTTGCACATTCTTCTTAAGCAGCTGTCCATTATGGGGCTGAAAATATTTCTTTCCTAAATCCAATCCTGTAGAGCGTAGGAGAAAGGATCATGTGTGTTGTGAAATATAGCCAATAAACAGGGAAATATTCAAAGTTAGAGAAGAAAACAGAAAAACTGCAAACTTGGATATTGAAAACCCAGATGGCAAGGTCCTCATTAATTACATCTAGTGCTAAAACTTGAAAGGAGTATTTTGAACCTTGTGTGATTTAGAAATTGACCCTGGTGGTTTCCCCCCACACCCTCAGAAATCCTAGATAGCTGTGTGCTTTTTTAATGTAGTTTCCCTGACTAAACTTGAAGACATGGCTAGCTGACCAAGGAGCTATGTTTGGCAGGACTTGAGACAATGTTTATCTAACCCTGCTTGTTCAAGGACCTTCTTGGAAGGGTAGACCTCTTCTGGGAGCAATTGATTCATAGCTCCTTCAAAGCCACTCCGTAAATGTTCAGCTTGACTAGAATTCCACTGCTGACTTTCCAGGCTTAATCAGTATTGATGAATTTTTCAGAGAAGGATGACTAATTAGAGATTTCTTCTGTGGTTTATAATCACAACATGCCATCTTTGCAAAGGCCTTTCGATCAAAACTCATTTGACCAGAGATTTTTTCAGAGATGTAGCTTCTGATGATTCAGGATGATTGAACAGGAGATTTCACTTTCTGCTTTTTCCCCCACCATGATAAATAATAATTTATGTTAAAGTATCTCAGTGCAAATTGCCAATAGGAACTAATATTCTTGTATTCTAAGTATTCTAAGATTAAATATGTTCATAGATGTGAGACATTTAAAGCAGTGTCAGCCATGTATGTTGTGTTTCTATTTCAAGTAAAGATTGCAAAGCAGGCATAGGATAATGCTTTTAATGTTTACAAAATTATGCAATTAAAAAAAAAGATGCACAGTAACACTACCATGAATGTTTTGGTGCTGTTTATTTTTAATTGGGAAGCAGCAGCATGATGGAAAGAGTGCTGAGCACCTGGGATATTGGTGCTGATGACCATTTTTTCTCCGTGTGCCTTTGAACAAATCACTTAAACTTGGAGTTGTCTTTTCCTTCTATGTGAAATGAGTGAATGATGAGATAATCTCTAAGGTCCCTTACAGCTCTGACCTGTGCTTCCATAAGATACTAAGAGCTCTTTTTTTATTTTGTTGTTAGATTAACTTCATGTTTGCACTGAAATCAAGCTAGAAGTCATTTGTATGTATTTCTGCAAACTGCCTTCTATAGCTTGATGCATTTGCAAGTGGCTGTTTTGGCACTAAATCACACCTCTGAATTTTCAGTCTCATATATTGGATGGAACAGTTATGCAAGATTAAAATGTTCAGTCATTTAACTGAACATGTGTGGCAGCATTTGTTCACTCCATTTCATCCATCCAAAGGCCACTTTGATTTATTTCATTTCCTATGTCACTTAGACCTTCTGTCCATAAATAAATATTTAAATCACACTTTAGATTTTAGAAAATGTTGAGCTATTTGTTACACCACTTGTGCATATTAACTATTCTATAATACATCTTTTAACAACATAGTTTCACATTTAGAGTTTCTAATTACATTGTATTTTAAATTATGTCTGATATGTGAGTAGGAAGCTTGATGGTTTGTTTGTAAAATGCTTTAATGTAAGAGCTTATTGAGAAGGGAGCCAATGATTTAATAAAACTCATTTGAAAGCCTGCATCATTTAAAAAATAATAGCAAGATACAGTTTATGAATTTTAGGTAAATGTAACATGGTGATTTATCTGTCTTGTCCAATACTTTCAATAAACAGTATACTTGTTATAAGGAACAGTGTGTCCTAATTTTTGGTATAATCTCTCAGTAAACTTCTTAATGTCTAATAGAAATATTTAATTTCAGATTAAATAATGGAAGTATGGCTCTTATAATTGCCCGAAACACTTCTCGGCCAGAATTTATAAAACACCTGAAAAGATATGCCAGTGTAAAAAATCAGGTATAGTAAATTTTTTGTTACTTATTTATAAAGCTATTAATCATGTAGAAGAAGATGCTACAAGAGTTGACATCGAGTCCTGCCTCCTAAGAAGGTTTTATTTTCTTCTGAATATATTAAACTTTTTTTCCAATCTGTTTCATCCAAATTTTGAAAAGCATCCACCAGTATTAATATAGATTGGCCTTTTTTGAATGATGAATTAGTGGTTATGTATATATAACCACAAAGATAAAATAAGAAATGTAGTGTTATCTTGCAATGTGAAGTAAATTAAAGATAAAATTACATACTCAGGCTGTTCTTCAGAATGAAAAGAAGTGAAACTTGAGAGTGTAGCCTTCTTGATATTATGGCAGCAGACTTTCTAAAGTTATGATCTTTAGATCTTCCTGACATTTGTTTGCATATCTGCCTATGCTCATTGATTGAAATAGATCTGTAGATATGTATTTAAAAATATGAGACTTTTATATAAATATTCATTCAAAATGAGGATGTGTGAAGATATATATTTCCACTTAAGAGATTTGCTTTAAAAAGAAACAGTAACTGTTACAAACCATATTATTTTGGCAGATATTTTGACCTGATTATTAGGAAAATGATCCTAGAAATATGTGAATTTCTGAAATTGTGAGTCTTTCAAGTACATAGGTATGGTTGTAAAACCCTATAGTTTCACACTTTTTGTTTTTTTTTGAGATAGAGCCTCACTATGTTGCCCAGGCTGGAGTGCCATGGCGTGATCTTGGCTCACTGCAACCTCCAGCTCCCGGGTTCGAGTGATTCTCCTGCCTCAGCCTCCTGAGTAGCTGGGATTACAGGCTCATGCCACCACGCCCAGCTAATTTTTATATTTTTAGTAGAGACAGGGTTTCACCATGTTGGTCAGGTTGGTCTTGAAAGTCCTGACGTCGTGATCTGCCCACCTCAGCCTCCCAAAGTGCTGGGATTACAGGCGTGAGCCACCACGCCTGGCCCACACATTCTTGAAGTTATAAAATGGTGCTCGGATATAGTTGGGAGAGCACAGATGGGAGGAGGAGGAGGAGAGTAAACCCAGCCAATGACTGGCAGCTGAACCTTGCTTATGTACCATAGCCATTGCAAGTCTCTCCATTTTTGCCTCATTATATTTTCAAACTTTCTTAGGTCATCTTCATGAAGTTTGATCTTCTGTCTATAACATTATTTGATCCTCATGTATTGAACAACTAAGTGGGCTGCTTAGGAACGTAAATCATAAAAAAATTAGATACAGTCCCACTTCCTTATATGTCAAAGTAGATCAGCAGAGATAATGTAGGTCGTGAGCCTGCGTAACAACTTTATGTATGTGTTTGGATGGAATATGGAGACTTACTGATTCTTCAAAGGAATGTATGCATTTTCACATTTTACTAAATTTCTAAACGTTAAAATCAATTTTTAAAAAACCCAAAGCACTATATATTCATTGCTGTTTTTAAGTCAGAAAATAGAAACAAGAAAATGATTTTAAGCACTCAAAATTCCATGTTCCTCAGGATAAGTATCATTACATTGGTAGAAGTTTTTCCAAATCCTTTTTTATTACATAAATGAGAAGTTAAGTGACTATTAACCTCATTCATGTACCCCTATTTGAGAACTTAAATCGTCTTAACCTATTAATGTAACCCTGAGAAGTTCTGTACTTATTTTGGGGAGGTGTATGTTGCACAAATTGTTTATGGAAGATCTCTTTTGAAATTGCCCATGGGGCAAGTCTCTTAGGCAAGTTTTGTAAACATTCTTTTTTTTTTTTTTTTAAAATCAATATACCTTTCTTCTGATTTTAAAAGCAGTGGTTCCCTTACACATAAAGACAGACATACAGAAAATAATACAAATCTGTGTTGATAGGAAGATGCCTTCTAAAAGAGATATTATGCAGGATTTATCATATTTTCTCATGTACTCTACCAGGCATATCTGGCTTTTGACACAAGAAACAGTTGCCAGTGTGTGATTCACTGGCCTTAACTCTGATTTATTTATCAACTTTCAAAAATTAAAATCCATGCTTTTTTTTTTTTTTTTTTTTTGCAAATAATTCTAAAATATTTTGTATAGTGTATATAGTAAGAATAATTAGATTGATTCCCAGGGTGACTGCTTTCAAGCAATGTTAATTTGATTTGTTAATTATCTACACAGGTGTGTGTATTTAGGCTCTTTCCTTCATGGTGACATTAAAAATGTGAATTTATATAAATTTTGTAAGATTATGAAAATCAGATCTATGTAAAAATCATATCTACTGCATAATTCGTAGCAGTGCTGGTATTCAGGAAGGAAAATGTGACAATTCAGTTTAAGGAGAGTAACATGTGCTTCTCTGAACCATGTTTACCAGGTTGAATAAGCGAGCGTTACTGTATAACACTGTAAAACAGATTGAAACCACCATGTGCAGAGTGGCTCCTGTTCCTTCCCCATCTCTATGTAAAATTAGATAGAGGGTGAACATTACCCTTCAAAGTCCTTGCAGCTCCATCCTATTGCTTTGCCCCCCTTCTCACTGTCCACACTTTTCTCTTTCATTGTGACCATTTTTGGTAGGGAGTTTAAAACCTTAAATGTGAGTGCTTCCCCCAGGATTTGTTTACAGTGCTCTCGTCGTCTTAGGATGCCCTCTCTTGGATGGCCTCATTGCCCCTCACTTTTGAACTATCTGAACATCATACACTCCCAAGGGTTCTGTCATCTCATCTTATCTGCAGAACCTCTGTCTTCTTGTATGCCACAGAGGTTCTGAAACTCACAGGCATCTGGAGGCCAACATGTCTACAGCTGACCTTATCTTTTCCCCTAAAGTTCCTTCTGTGTTGGTCTGTGCAGGTCAATGGCACCACTTTCTGCCCATCCAGGTTACCCTGGATTGTTCCTTCTTCCTCATTCCTCAGTACCAGTCCCCTAACTTGTTCTGTACATCTCCTCTTAAATGTTTCTAACATTTCTCCCTCACCTTAATTCAAACTTTAATCCTTTCTTGCTTATAGTAGCCTCCTTTTGGCCTTCAGTTTCTCTGGTCTTGTCTTCCATACCTCCTTTTAGAGAAACTTTGTTCTAAGACACACATTTGATCTCTCTCCTGCTTAATTCTTCAGTGACTTACTCTTGTTGTCAGAATAATATGGAATTTCCTCAGTCTGGAATACGCGGCCTTTGTATCCAGGTCCCTGCCTGTGTTGCAACCCTATCTCTTATTTACACCCTCCACCACATTCCCAGTGTTTTGGCATTTTATTCATTGTCTAAGGTTGCCATAAAAAATACCATAGAGAAGATGGCTTAAACAAACCAACGTATTTCTTTCATGGTTCTAGAAGCTAGAGCTGCAAGACGATGTCAGCAGGTTTGGTTTGTCCCGAGTCTTCCCTCTCTGGCTGGCACACGGCTGCTGTCTCACTGAACCCACAAGTGAGTGGTCTTTCCTCTGTTCATCTCCAATGCCTTTTCCTATGTCCAATTTCCTCCTCTTATAAGGACACCAATCGTATTGGATGAGGGCCTGAAGACATCATTTTAGCTTAATCACCTCTTTAAAGATCTTATCTCCAAATACAGTTACATTCTGAGGTATAGAGGGCGAGAATTTCAATACAGGAATGTGAGGTCCAGTGGGCATGATTGAGCACCTAGGAATCACACTGAATTCTGTGTAGTTGCTTGACCATGGTTTGCCTCTAGTTTTGTAAATGCTTCCTCTCTCCAGACTTTCTTCTCCAGGCTAAATATTCTGTGTTCTTTAAGGCTCAATTCAAATGGGAAGCTTTCCCAACATCCATAGACTGTTTGCCTCCTCTTGTTTCCTGCATTGAACTCCACGCTTGCACCATCATGGCACTTTTGTGTATCACAATTGTAACTGCTCACTTCTCCTCCCCATGCCCCAAACATACCCTCACACAGGATACTAAGCTCTTGGCTCCCTAAAGTCCCACTTTAACAATGTCTGTGGCTTCACAGTTAAAGCATTTGAAGGATGGCTAGATCTTCATTTTGTGAGGTGTGCACATGATAACTGCTGATTTAAGATAATAGACTTACTGGTGGTGGCTGTCAATTCTTGGCATTCCTTGGCTTACGGTTGCATCACTCCAGTCTCTGACTCTGCCATCCTTGGCATTCTTCTCTCATAAAGACATCAAGCATATTGGATTAGGGCTCACCCTAATGACCTCATCTTAAGTTGATTCTACCTGCAAAGACCCTACTTCTAAACAGGTGACATTCACAGGCACCATGGGTTAGGACTTGAACATAGTTGGGATGGGGGAGGGAAATGTAATTTAGCCCATAACAGGCAGTTGTTGATAATTCATTTAACACACACTAACATGAATGATTATGTAGATAATTCTACAGGGATGAGGCATGTAGCCAAGGCTTTATACCCAAGGTGGGAGATCTAATGCAGTTATTGTCAAACAGTTTTGCTTGGGGCCCTCTAGTTCTGAACCTCAGTCACAGCAGCTGATGCGCTGATATCATGTACTGTTTAACTGTGTTTATAGTATAAACCAGAAAGTCAGCTGGACTTTGGTATCTACATATGTAAAATATGGGTGTTGGGGAAAATATTAGTTTTCTGTCAACTTTTAAAACTATGTGTTGCATTGAGGTTTATATGTGGAAAAGAGGAAAAACTATGTAGATGGTGTTTAATTAGGAATATATCTCATCATTTATCTGAAAACTGAAATGAGTAGTTTTGCATTCCTGCTAAAGTTACTTGGCTATATTTTCTTAATTATTTCAGAAAATACATAGTGCTTTTTCAGTATAGTTTCCTTAGGCAAACAAGAAAAAAACGCAAGTAGAAGTTTACCTTGCACCATTCTATAGTGGTAAGTAAACAGTGATCTTGCAGCTCATGTCCATTGTTAAAGTGGGAATGGGGCAAGCAAACACCTGTTAAAATCCATATTTAATTGGCTTCCTCTTTTAAAAGAAGACATACGTCCCATTTTATCTTCAGAGGTTTAGACCTGAGTTCTTCCAAATTACATTCCAAGTGTGAAACTTGCACTAGTTTGCTTTATGTCAGCTAAACTAATTGACAAGTTGATAAACTCAATGGATTGTATGTCTTCTGTATCTACAGGCCAGCATTAAATATTATCTTTAATTGAAAAATCTACAGTATCATTATTGTATGCAACTTCTCACAGATATGTACTATTTGTCATAAAACAATATTTCTAGGTGCTAGATCTAAACCCAGAAGGCTTTGGATAAGAGATTCCTTCTTCCAAAAAAAAATTGGAGATCCCTGCTCATAGTCTCAAAGCTATTAAAATGTCAGCATACATGTTGATATTTACTTGTGAGAGAGGGCACAGTGAACTTTGTGTTAGTAGCTAGAGATAAACCAAGTATGATTATTTGTATTTATTTTTAGTTCAATTTTCCATTTGTTGAGACTTACACTGTTGAGGAAGTAAAAGTTCATCCAAGGAATAATACTGGTGTATATAATCCAGAGGACTTATACACATCTAGATGTGAGACTTACACTGTTGAGGAAGTAAAAGTTCATCCAAGGAATAATACTGGTGTATATAATCCAGAGGAGGAAGAGGATGAAACTGCTTCAGAAAATTGTTTCCCTTGGAATGTAGATGGTGATTTAATGGAAGTTGCATCAGAGGTCCATATTAGGTAAGTCTTAATTATTTCACCGCTTTATATGTCAACCAGTAAACGTAAATCTAATGGTACAATGAAAGCTCTCTTCTCTGAATTATCAAAGCAGGCAGTCGGTTAGTTTTTAAAAAATCAGTAAATCAGGGAAGCATGAAGAGACATGCACAAATTTCAACAAATAAGTAACCTTACATTTATTCACCAACTGTTTCGTAGAGCGTGGTTATGCATGTCTACATTGCCTTTCTAATTTATTGTTGTGCAGAAACTACAGATAATGTCTACAACTTCCATTTTGGATTTTTAAAAATGGATCAAGATCTTAAACCTTTTAGTGGAGCCATCTGACTAGTCAAGTGTTAGATTTTAATCTTTCCATCTTAGTTTCCTCTCACTCATAATTACTGTAACACGTTTTGTTCAGCAATTTGCTTTTATTAGGCCTTTACAAAGCATTCAACTTCCCTTTGGAACAATTTTACATAGCAACTGGTAGAAACAGGTTTAGGAACCTACAAACTCATCCTTGGTAGGCATTGTGACACTCAGTGGTTAGAAGCAGCATGCAGGGGTGCCCACTAGACATGGGTGTTCTAGAGGCATGACTATTTTAAAAAGGCAATGGAGAACATTAGACACTCAAGGAAGTCAGTTATTACTGTTGTTGATGATTTTTCAGACCTTCTGAGTTTTCTAGATTACAGCTGTGTTTTCTACATGACAGCTCTTGTGAATGCTATGTTATGAATTTGTATTTGGCATTGTGTACCATACTTATTAGGTGTATGTGTGAAAAATAACAAAATATGTTGATGAAATAACGAATTATACATGTGTTTTCTTTACAGATTGCATCCAAGACTTATCAGTCTTTATGGAGGAAGCATGGAAGAAATAAATGATTCCAAAGTAACAAGTAATTGTTTCTAAAAGAAATGTACAAACTAGAATTTTAATATAAAGAAATATGGCCATGCTTTAAACCTATGGTCCCCACCCTTTTGGGGACCAGTTTCATGGAAGACAATTTTTCCATAGATGGGGGAATGGTTTCAGGATGAAACCGTTCCAACTCAGATCATCAGGCATTAGAGTCTCATAAGGAATATGGCACCCTAAACCCCTCACATACCAGTTCACAATAGGGTTCGTACTTCTGTGAGAATCTAATGCTGCTGCTGATCTGAGAGGAGGAGAAACTCAGTAATGCTCCATTGCTTTAACTTTCCGCTGTGTGGCCAGTTGGGGATGCCTGTTTTTTAAACAGATATTCTAATATAAATTGCTATTTTTTGTTACTAACAATTAGTCTCTAGGGCTTTAAAAGTCAAGATGAAATACCAATTCAAATTCTGGTTTTTACAATGTGTTTGTTGGACACACAGAAAACTTTGCAACCATCATAATACATCAATATTTAACCTAAATAATTTGGATTCTTTTATTTTTCAGGATTATGTTAAATTTCCTATATTCTGGTATAAACATAATACAGATTTCATAAGTCTACCTTGATTTTACTGCTCCCTAATACAGAGCAGTTAAATTTCAAAATCACATAGTTTGCCAAAAAAGAATAACCCATCCCTGTCTTCTTAAAGTGGTAGGGTTTTAAAATTCATCGTACAGGTAACAAAGTTGATAACAAATATTATTTTGAACTGGGCAAAATCTAGCCCCATATGTAATTGTGTTCCTCTTGTATCTGAGAGGCCTGTGTTGGACAATCATAGTACTCTGCTTTTACTGTGCTCAAATAACCTGAAATATATAGTTGTTTCTGAGTAGGAAAGAACCAAATTTAAATTTTCTTAGTGACCATCCTGGAGAAGACACTTCTAAATCGGGGCTTACATTTTTCATCTATGATCCTAGATAGTCTTCTGAAAGAACGACTAGACTTTTTATAACGATACAAAGTTTTTAAAAAATACATAAAAGTTTATTCCTGTGTATACACACTCTGGGTTCAGGAGGTTTTGTGCTTGTGTTTCACTACTCAAATGCCCTTACGAATCTCAGAACATTCCTCACCATCACTGCAGGCCTGTGAACAGATAACTTTCATCAATTAGGATGACTGGCTAGTGGCAGGGACTTCATATAAAGAAATCTTTTCCAGAATTGTTTTTTCAAATTGCCCTCTAATTTGATCACTTCCTGTAATGGATGTTCAAAATTCGGCCATAGCTCTCTTATGAAGACAGAATCGGGTAAAATTATATTCTGCAATTATCTATCATAAGCATAAAATAAATATTACAAAAATGATTGTATTTGCAAATAAAAAGGTATTTAAAGATATTAAAATCCAGAAAGTTATTTCATTTAAAATAGAACCTCATATAATATGAACAAACTATAAAAATATTTTAGCTGTCACTTAACATTTCATGAAAATTTTATATTCACTGTATACAAACTGAATCAGTATCTTTCAGCTAAATTTATGAATTTTGTTTCTTCATTTCCATGCAAAGGAACACTTACATTTGTAAAGAGTAACAAAGAATTGCATCCAAGCAAATATTTGTGCGATAGTCAATATTTTACATAGTACATGATACATATGAAGTAACATGATATATATGAAGTATAGGCCCCCTAGTCTTTGCACAGCTTTGGTTTTAAAGTTATTAGTGAGGTATGGTTTCCATATTTTTAAAATCAGTGTATATGAGCTAAAGTGCAACACTCACACGATCTTTTGTTTCAGAATATAAATTCGAATATTTTATAACAAAAGATTTGAAGATGGTTCTTAACTATTTACTCCTGGGTATGCTTGATAAAGGTGTGTAAATATATACCTAAACACATGTATATATACAGAAAGATGGGGAAATCCATAGCTGTATAAAAATAATTATCCAGAAGTCATTTCATTAAGCTCAAACCAGTGTACATGTTCAGTCTGAAGTTTGCCCATTAGGCCTATAATATTCATAGTCTGCTAAAAAAACAAAACCCATAGGAAATGTATTATAAATAAAGGGCTTTAAAGAGATAATGGTCCACTTCCACTCATTAGAAAATTTGGGAATAGCTCTCTAAAAAATCATATTTTTAAAGAACATATTTTGAACAAGTCTCAAAGATGTATTTGAAATGAACCTCTGCCTACCCAGCAGGGTTCGTTTTACTGAGGCAAGCACGTATGGTAAGTAGTATTTCAAGTCTAAGACTTCTCCAGTATGATTTAACTCAGTTATACTTTCATTTCAAGATATCTTCAAGGATTTACTTTTCTTGAATAAATTGAATGCTTTAGTGTTTCTCTACCCATTTAAAAGCTGAGAGATTATCTTCGGCTGTATTATTACCTTTGCAGTTCTTCTTTCTCAAAGAGTAATCACTGCTGAGATTTTCCCTTTGCATGAAGACATAATATGTCACGAGATCATGAGTAAAAGAAGTCCGAACAAAATTCATTTTTTCTTGTAAACAGTGTCTTAAATTTCTTTACTACAACCTGAGTCTGTTTTCCATTCTCTCAATTTGAAAGAAGTCCTTAATCATCATTGCTTTTACTGTTGATGTAACTCCAACTGTCTCTTCTGTTTTCTTCTTGTAGGATAGATTTGTATTGTCTTTTAAAGAAGCCGGCCTGAAAATAGCATTACAAAATCACTAGTGTATAGTTATAAACACTCTTATCTACTATACTCATTTCTAATAACTAAGCAGTTAACACCAATATTTCTTAAACTGCATCCTTTGTAACATCAATCGTAAAGGTTTAACAGAGGTAATCAGTAAAAATTAGTGGGGACATACTGGGTTAAAGAAACATTTTTGTTTTTAATGCAGAAATTCTCAGTGATACATACCACATTCTCTTCAAAATTGACATTCAGTATAATTTGCAATCTTTTCCAAATGATTTTTTAAAAGGAACATCTTTCAAAACAAATTAAGAAGGCATATTTTTCTAGAAGGACTTTGGTGTTAAGAGAAATGTGAGATCAGTACTGAGCAACATAAAAAGTTAACATTAAAATAGTGAAATATTTAAATCTAAATAACTTGGAAGTCAAATAGGCTTTGAGAAAATGTCATTTTGAGTAGTTTAATGTTGGTAATTGTTAGTAGGTTAATGTTGGTAATTGTTAAATGCTTACCTTCCACATAACATATGAGATCAACAGAAGTACAATAAGTCCAAGTAGCAAGCTACTTGAAATAATCACTATGGTGAAATAACGTTTGGGTCTTTGATGATGTAGTCCTTCCAGGAGAACCTATGTGAATTAAGAAAAGTAAAACCCAAAAAGCAAAAAAGAAAAAAAGAAACAGTTTAAAAAGTTGCTTATATTTCCTTTAAAGCCCTGCCATAATCCCCAATAGTATTTAGAAGTACCCACCCTGTTTTCTTGCTGGTTCTAATATAATTGCAGGAAACACTGGTAACTGTTTAGCAGAAACAGTGAGTGTAATGGGCTCTATCCATGACTTTTCCTCCAATCTATCCAATTCTCACTGCTGCCCAATTCACCTCTCTAAAAGAACTGCTGTGTTGTTCCCTCCTGCCAGTTGTGGAAAATGCCAGCTCTCAACCAAGTATTGAGGACCCTCCATGAGCTGGTCACACTCTACTTTCCCAACTCAGTTACTCAAAAGGAAGTAATTATAGACACCCTTGAAATGTGTTTTCCTATAATTTTAATGCAGCAGTTAAGAAGGTAATCTTACATGTGCAACATTCTCATCCTTGTTTAGTTCAATAACTCTTGAATTTGGCTCTGGAAAACTTGTTGCTCTTATTTCAAATTTGAGTGCTGAAGTCTCATCCTGTGTAATAAAAGAAAGATCACCATGGCCTGGTTTATTTCCTGAAGACATATTAATAGAAATAATTTGTCAGGATCTTTACCTTCTATCTAGAGGTTTTCACAATTTACCTTCCCCAATTTACTTCACCACTTAAAATTAACTGCAGTGCTTCCTTTGGTTCCCAAAGTGTGGTCTTGGTATTAATGTATATAGTATCATCTTATCGAAATCCTTTGATTAAATATAGCTACCTTGCAAATAACTTGATTTAAATATTAGACTACAGCAAGAGGTAAGTTACCATTTACCAATGTTCTCCACCCTGCCACCGCATATTGCATCTATCTTATTTGGGCTTTTTATTTTTTTCTAAATTATAGAATTCAAATATAAAATCAGTGGATGAACTCAGAACTTTATTATCTAAAGCAGGGATTCTATAATGCAGAATCCATGAAGCCTGGGGACGTGTAGATGGGTTTTACGAGTTCTAAGAATCTTTAGGAGACGTTTTCATGTGGGCATTTGCTGAGGGAGATGAGAATATATTTAGTCAGATTCTTAAAGAGGGATATGACCTTTAAAACTACTGTGTAAATGTTATTTAACATTTTAGAGCCAAAAATGACAAGCTTCATACAGATCTAGAGCAGTGGTTCTCAGCAGGGAGGTGATGAAATCCTAAGGGACGGTCAGGAATGTCTGAAGAAATTGTAAAGTGTCAGAACGTGGGAGGTGGCACTACCAGCAGTGAGTGTGTAGAGGCTGAGGATGCTACTAAATATCCTACAGTGCACAGGACAGCCCCCAAAAACATCTGGTTCAAAATGCCAATTATGGCTGCTGATGGGAAACCTAGACCTAGAGGAAAAGAGAAGGCAAACTGCAAAAGGTTAAATGACTTGCTGATGGTCTAATGACTTTGCTTTTTGCACAGTTGAAACTAAAATGGATATTTCTTCTTTGCCTGTCTACTGTATCTTAAGCACTGTTTGACAATTTCAAAAATTCCACTTGAACAAAACAGCTGCCATTTCCTTTGGCTTCCTATGTTCCATGAACTAAGTGCTTATAAAAATCATCTCATTTATCCATATTGAACAGATGAGAAAGCTGAAAAACAGAACTCCACATAAAACTAGTTTCATCTCAAACTACTCCTCATAAATATACATGTTCCTTT